TTGTTTCCTATGTTGGGATTCCATCATGTTCCTGAGCTTCTCTCTAGATTTATTAATCATGTCTTGCACTATGAGCACAATCTCTGCTGTTATCTGAGAAATTATTTCTGATTTCATTTTTTTCCAGATCCTCTTTTGTTACCAGTTCAGGGAGTCCAGGCAGTAGAGTATCAGAGTGTTCTCATTTCCCTTTGGGGTTGCTATAGTTGATCTGAAAGTCTGGTTTTGAGACTTGTTTACATGTCTTCTCATTTCGACGCGGTGGTGGGGGGGCGGGTTGCTGCTGGCATCCACAAGGCTCACCTCCTCTGTGCTGGCAGGGGTTGATATCGGGTATTTTGTCTCAGCTATGGAGACAAGTAACTAAGACATGTACCTTTCTTCCTCTGCCACCAAATAATTTCAATAAAATAACTTTTATTTAATTATCAAGTTACAGATAATTGCTAAAAGGTTCATTCCACTAACAAAATAGTTAACTGATATACCTCCTTCATCTAAAGGATAAAATAGTTCTATAAATGAATCAGAAAGCAATTATTCAGAGATGGATAAATGATTGATATTATACTTCTCAGGGATTTATTAAATAAATTTTTTGCCTAATATAAACATTTAATGCTATAAACTTCTTTGTAAGCACTACTTTTGCTGCATCCCATAAATTTTGGTATACTGATGCTCATTTTCATTGTTCAAAATTTTTTCTACTTTCCCTTGAAACTCTTTTGACCCATAGATTAAAAGTATACTGTGCAAAAAAAAAAAAAAAAGTATACTGTGCAACCCATGTTTATAGCAGCACAGTTGTAATAGCTAGATCTTGGAAATAGCCCGAATGCCCATCAACTGATGAATGGATAAAGATGTGGGAGTTTTTTTAGTACAACAGAGTACTACTCTGCCATTAAGACGGACAAGCTTCAGACATTTATAGCTAAATGGATAGACCTTGAGACCATACTCTTAAATGAAGTAAACTGGACACACATGTTTAAACACTACATTGTTTCTCCAATGTGAGAAACTGAATGTGGAAAAAATATATAAATAAATTTTAAAAATTTTAAACCAAAACCAAACAAACAAAAATAACAACAAAAACAGTCTGGAGTTCCATTTGGCATCCCATCCTGCTGACAGGAGCTATTTGTCTTTTTATTATTTCCAATAAATGCTCTCCTAACTTAAAAAAAAAAGTATATTGTGCATTGGGGATTTTCCAGATTTTCATAATTAATTTTAAATTTAATTCTGTTATTGCCAGAGATCATCTTTTGTTATGTCTATTTTTAATTTGTTAAGATTTATTTTATGACCCAGGATATTGTCTACAGTGGAGTATGTTTCATGTGTACTTGAGAATACATATTTCACTACTGTTGGGTAGCATGTGCTATAAGTATTAGCTCGATCCCATGATTGATGATATTATTCACTTCTTCTACAGTTTTCCAGAACCACATGATCCCAGTGTATGGAAAGCAGCCCTAAGACACCAGGAGACTGAAGAGAGAGGGAGACAGATCCAGGACTGCACCAATAGATCCAAGATTGCAATTTACTGGGACCTTAACTCTGAGAACATGGTCCTAGATGGCAGCAAGACCAGGTGGTTCCATGGGATTTAGGTCAGAAGAAGGGGAGTACACAATGATCAGGACAAAAGTCACTTCATCCAAGGTGGAATGTACCTGGTTTATCTCAAGCTCATATCAAAACTTCAGGCACAATCCTGGTTCTGTTGATACCAGGGTTCTGCAGAAAAGTTCCATATACCATGTTAATAGACTTATTTATATTGTGCTGGGAAACAATGAGGAAAAAACCAACTAGGGCTACTAAGGAGCAATCGTGGTTGTTACGACTCAAGACAGCTAGTTATGTCAAGGTGAAGCCTTACATACAGCCTTGCTGGCTTTCTGCTACTGGTTCTTCTGATGATTGAGAGAAATGTCCTCAAGACTCCAGTATAATTACAGAATAGCTTATTTTTCTTTTCATGTCTATCAGTTTTTGTTTCGTGTCTTTTTTTTTTTTTTTTGGTACCAGGGATTGAACTCAGGTCCTTGTGCTTGCACAGCAGGCGGCAAAACCACTGAGCTAAATCCCCGGCCCTGTTTCGTGTCTTTTGAAGCTTTCTTGTTGCATACAGCTTGATGGTGAGCCCAGGTATTCTTAAACAATCTCATGGGATTCTTCTCTTGAGCTACTGCTGCTTAATCTCTGTGGCACACTTGGGCTTCCAGGGACCCCTTCCTAGCCCTCTGACTAGAGCACAGGGGCTTGAGTCTCCCTTCTCTGTCTATATATTTCTTGTATCAGGATTTACCTCTGGAGCTGAGGCAGGAAAAGAGAGAGAGGAGAAAAAATAGTAACTGGAATTTCTCTCATGCTCTTTGAACCATAATTCCTCCAGTCAGAAAGAATTCCTTTCTCTCAAAGTTGTAGATGCGTGCCACCAGCTGTTATCATTATCACTTGGCCATTACAAATTGCAGTTTCAAGATTGGAGCTTGTATAGGTAAGAGAGAAAGAAAAAACTAAAACAAGGTAGGGGTAGTGGTCCACTCCTATAATCCTGGGTACTTGGGAGGCTGAGGCAGGAGGATCACAAGTTCAAGTGCAGCCTAGGCAACTTAGACCCTGTCTCAAAATAAAATAAAATAAAATAAAAAGAGCTGGATATGTAGCTCAGTGTTCCCTGGGTTCAATCCCCAGTACCATGAAGGGAAAAGGAGAAGGAGGAGAAAGATGAGGAAGGGAAGGGGGAGAGGGAGAAGGGAAGGGGGACAAAAACATATACCAGGGATTTCTTCTATTTTCTGGCTCACTGGGGCCTGCCTTCTCTCTTCTCAGATGAGAAAAAGGCTTCTCTTGGAGTTCCTGTCCACATTCAGTGCACAGTTCTAAGATTCATGTTGTTTGAAACCAGGCTGAATGATTTAGAAAGAAAAAAATGAAACTCACCACTGGTGACTTCTGTTTTTCTACCTTGAGTTCTGTTTTTTTTTCCCCTCCTTCCTGTTCTCTTACATTTTCGAGATCCTGTGAAAGTTTCTCCATGCAGCCTTTCAAAGTTTTTAGTTATATTCAGGAGAGACACAAAAGTGTGTACTTACTCTGTCTTAACTGGAATCAGAGCAAGCTTATATTGAATGAATTTTACATTCTAATTAAAAGACCGCTAGTCAAAGTTGCTAAAAACAAAACAAGACCCAACTATGTTCTTTCCATAAGGGATACATTTTAAATATAAAGACATTGATACTTTGAAAGTAAATGGACAGGTAAACATATATGATGTAAACAGTAAGCAGAAGTAGTCTGGGCTAAAATTGATCTCAAGACAAAGAGTAATATCAGTGAGAAGGAATATTTCATAAGGATAAAAAGGCCACTATAGCTGGGTGGGGGGGCAAATGCCTGTAAGTCCAACACTCTGTGAATTTCATAGGAGAATTTCAAATTTGAGCCGAGCTTGAGCAATTTAGTGACTTAATGAGACCATATCTCTGATTTTTTAAAAAGGTCAATTATAGGGCCGGGGATTTAGCTCAGTGGTTCCGGCGCCTGCCTTGAAAGCTCAAGGTCCCAAGTTCGATTCCCGGTACAAAAAAAAAGTCAATTATCAGAAATATAATGATCATAAAAGTGTATGCATCTAAAAACAGCATTTCAAAATATATGAAGCAAAAGTTGACAAAATTAAAGGGAGAAATAGTCAATTCCATAATCATAAAACAGAGATTTCCACATTCTTTTCTCAATAATACATAGGATAAGAAAAAAAATCAGTAAAGACAAGGGTCACAAACACCATCTTAACCCAACTGATACTTACAAAATAGTAAATTGAAAATATATATTCTGTACACTAAGATGGACCATATGCTAGAGTATAAGATATACCTCAATACATTTAAAAAACCTGAAATCCTAGAGTATCTTCTTTGATTTCAGTGAAATTAAATTACAAATCAATAACAATAAGATATCCAGGAGGGTCGGGGATTTAGCTCAGTGGTTTCGCCCCCTGATGTGCAAGCGCAAAGACCTGAGTTCGATCCCGGGTACCAAAAAAAAAAAAAAAGATATCCAGGAAGCTCCCATATATTTCAAAATTAACACATTTCTAAAATAATTCATGAGTCAAAGAAGAAATCACAAAGAAAATTTAAAACTGAATAACATTTCAAACTGAATGATAACAAAAGATGAATAATGTTCCCAATATATCAAGTAGATTAAAACAGTAGAATATAAATAGTATGACCTATCTTTTATTTTTAAATCAATAATATTACTATATACACAAAAATACAACTACAGAAATACAACTGGAAGAGATGAAAATTACAATATCTAAAATGAAAATATCACTCAAGTTAACAGTAGATTAGATAACGCAGATCAGTAAACTTAAGGATGTAACAGTAGAAACACAGTACATGTAGAAACTATATGTGAACCCATATAATTTAAATGTTTTCAATGGAAGTTACATGTAGATTTATTATAGCATATTTCCCATTGGGAAAGGAAATTTGAGTAAAATCTGAGCATGTGTCAGATTAAATATTCACATAGTGGGAACAGAAATACAAATATGCTTTGTCTTCTTAACTAGCTCTAGATGTAACTTTTATAATAAGAAAGTAACCAAAAGGAGTACTATCAAAAGATAAAACAGAGCAGCAGCAATATTCAAAGAAACCTGCTTCCATGTCCCAATGAATTGAGAAGAAAAGTCATTCCAATTTTGCCTAAAGAATATTAATACAAATTTTAAACTATCTGAGGGTTAAAATCTGAACTTGATCTTCACAAAAAAATCATATACTTCACATATTTCAAAAAATAACTTACAATAACACAATGCTTTCAGTTTTAATAAAACTACATATTTACTAAGTATAATTTATCAAAATATATTTTATTACCCTACATGATAACTCAAGAAATGTAACATTATTCTGATATTTAAATGCTACAATTACCTTTGTGTTTATTCAGAAGCTTGTAGCCCTCACAGTATCTGCCTGATGAAGTCAACATCGTGGTGGTGTTAAGATAAGAATACGTTGCAGCAAAATCAAACTCCTTTTGACCATCCCACCAACCTTGCTGTTTAGCATAGGTCCTCAGGTTTGGATGCTCTCGATCAACCTTGGTTGTTATAGAGAGCTGATTAGAAATATTGCGAACGCCCTCTATTTTCAAAGAAAGAATGGACAGGGAAAGAAAAATGACATTTAACATAAAATACCTACCTATATAGGATGGTTCTTAATTACTATTTAAATGCAACTTCAGACTTCTAAATTTTCTATGTGCGTCTATTACATGTTCTAAAAGATCCATTAATTTTTAAAACTAAGCTTTTTGAGAAAATTATACATATACATACAGTTATAAGAACTAATCCAGAGACATATTACATACCCTTTATTCAGATTCTCCCAATAATAGCATCTTGCAAAACTACAGCATAGTAACCAGAGCAGAATACTGGTACTGACAGTCAAGAAAGAAAACACTTTTACTACCGACTTCCTCATGTTGCTGTTTCACGGCAAACCCACTGATCTCCCATCCCTAATCGCCCATTAACTCCAGGACATCTAAGTTATTTTCAGTTTCAAGTCCTCATAGAAAAATAAGTATATGTGTATAGGTTTTTGTGTAAATGTTAATTTTTTTTATTTCCCTGGGATCAGTGCACAGGAGTGCAATTGCTGGTTTAGTTTTTAAAAGTGCTGCCAAACTGTTTTCCAGAGTACCTGGTTGTACATTCTTACATGGAATGATTCCATTTCTAGATTCTCATCAGGATTTAGTGATATCTTTATTTTATTTTAGTCATTTTGATAGAAGTATAATGACATCTTATTGTGGATTTCATTTGTATGTCCTTAATGGTTAATGATGTTGAACATCATTTCATGTACTAATTTAACATTTATATTATATATCCCTTTAAGTGAGAGGTCTCTTCATATCTTTTGTCCATTTTCTAATTGGATTGTTTACTCTTGACTTTTGGGTCTTCTTTATATATTCTAGATATTACTCTTTTCTATGAACTACTTTAAAAAATAATCATAAATAAGTTTAGAACAGCATAGAAGTCTTCCAAAAATATTGTGGCACCAAATTACAAACAAAACTTTTAACTAATATACCAAATACAAAAAATATATATACCTATTCCAAAGAGATCATAATAAATGAAACAGATCATGGTAAATGAAAATTGATAACATTTTAAAACTAATTCAAAATGAGGCTGACAATTACAAATTAATTAATTACTCTAATGAAACTATACCTGGGATATCCTCACTACAAAAGGAAGACTTGAGTTACAGAATCAAAGACAGTAAAGAGGAATTTGAATAATGTGTAAATCTCAATAGTTTAAAAACTTAGTTCTTTTTTAAACTAATATATATATTTAGGATTATACTGGGACTTCTGGGAAAATGGTAGACTGGTGAACACCAGAGAAATAGCCTCTCCAAGAATTGGTGTTCAGATGCTGGGATATAGCAATGTGTGGAACACAAGGAGGAAAGTGGGTCCTCAGGACCCAGCAAGGATCTGAAGCAATAATTGAAGGCCACAGGGAGAGCAAAGAACAAATAAGAATAAAGAAAATAAAAGAAAACAAAAACAGAAAAGAAGAAAAAAAATGTCCACTTCAGAGTGTATCTCTGCTGTCACTGGTAGACAGAGTGGGCAGACAGAGCCAAGATTTGTGTTGACTGATTCCAGTAAGCCAGCTATAGATTTATGACAGGATAGTGGATAATCCCAGAAAGCCTGCACCTTCAGTTTCACTGAAGTTCAGGCTGGTTTCTCGCTGTAAAGCTGGAACCAAATTTGTTCATCCTGCAACACTCTGTGTGCCTCCTCCTGGCTTGTACTCAGCTCCTTCACCCTTTTTTGTTTTTGTTTTGTTTGTTTTTTTTCCTTGATTGTTTGTTCTTGTTTTTATGAATGTGACCATTGTTTCTAGTTTTGTTGTTGTTGTTGTTCTGTTCTTATTATTTCTTCCTTCTCTCTTTCCCTCTTGGCTTCTTGTCAGTTTCCCAAAGTTTATGTAATCTTCCTTTGAATTAATGAATCAAAGAGTTGGTTCTTTGAAAGATGAAATAAAATTGACAAGCCTTTAGCAAACCTCATCAAGAAAAGGAAAGAAAAAACTCAAATCCATGCAATTAGGAAGGAAAAGGGTGAAATCACAATAGATCCTGCAGAAATCCAGAAGAGTACCAATACCTACTTTGAGAACCTGTATTCTAATAAGATGGAAAACAGAGAAAAAATGCACAAATTCCTAGATACATATGATTTAGCAAAGCTGAATCAAGAAGATATAAAAATTCTAAATAACCCATTTCAGTCAATGAAATTGAACATGTAATTAAAATTTTACCAACAAAGAAAAGCCCAGGCCCTGACAGATTCACTGCTGAATTCGACAAGAAATTTAGAGAAGACCTAGTGCCGCTATTTCTCAAATTCTTTAATGAAATTGAAAGGGAAGCAATAGTCCCAAATTCATTCCTGTAAGCAAACATTACCTTGATACCAAAACTAGAGAAGGATCCAACCAAAAAGAACTACAGGCCTATCTCCCTAATGAACACAGATTCAAAAATCCTCAATAAGATACTGGCAAATAGAATGCAGCAAATCATGAAGATCATACACCATGACCAAATAGGATTCATCCCAGGGATGCAGGGATGATTCAACATACACAAATCAATAAATGCAATACACTATATTAACAGAGCCAAGGACAAAAACCATATGATCATCTCAATAGATACAGAAAAGGTGTTAGACAAAGTCCAATATCTTTTTTTTTTTTTTGCGGTACCGGGAATCAAACTCAGGACCTTGCGCTTACAAGGCAGTCGCAGTGTCACTGAGCTAAATCCCCGGGTAATACCCATTTATGATTAAAAAAAAAAAAACTACAGACAATTGAATAGATGTGGTATTAACACATCTATTGTGTTGTGGTAGATTAACTAATGGTCAACTTGGAATGCCCAACTGAACTGAATCAGTGTGGTTGGTCGTGGAAGACCAACCTGAGGATTGTTGCCAATGGCATAAAAAGAGAACTGGAGGGGAAGATGGTGCCTTGTTGATTTTCTAGGAGAAGCTTGCTGCGATTGGTTGGTTTTCCTGATGGGAACTTGGCTCTTCTCTCAAAGGAGGAGCTCAGGGCCTCACTGTCACTGGAAATGGCTGCTGTTCTCATCACTGCAGCTCTGATCTTCACCGAGAGCATTATCACTTCTGGGCTCCAGTGTAGCACACTGCTTGGTAGCACAAATCCTTCACCCCACAGGTGCAGGTTTTCTGGCTTCTACCACTAGCCTTTAGACCTTCTGGGTGCAGATCCTCTATACGGACAAGCACGAGACATTACCATGGGCTCTAGACCACTGGCTGGACTCATGGAGGACATTGCCTTGGACTCTAGGCCTTCATCTGGACTTGTTTGGAACATTGCTGTGGGATCCAGGCCCTTAGCTGGATTCTTTAGGTCTCTAGTGTACGGCTAGATCTCTTACACTCCTCTGCATTTGACTTTTTGGGTGACTATTATAAAATAATCCTATAAATTATGTGTCCTGAATTAAATCTATTTCCCTTGCAAAACCCTGACTACAGCAATGGTCTTTATCTCAATCTGATTAAAGCTATCTATGACAAACCAACAGCCAATATCATGCTAAATGGACAAAAACTGAAAGCTTTCACTAAAACCAGGAACAAGACAAGGATGTTCACTGTCACCACTCTTATTCAGTATAGTTCTGGAAACATAAGCCAGAGAAATTAGACAAGAGAAAGAAATAAAAAGATTATAGCTAAATGGATGCATATTGAGGCCATAGTCTTAAGTGAAATAAATAGGACACACATATGTAAATACCAAATAGTTTCTGTGGTGTGAGAAACTGAAATGGTAAGTAAGGATTAAAAGGTATAATAGATAATGTGAAATAGGAAAAAAAGGTGCAAACGGGAAGGGGAAGAAGGAGGGATAGAGGAACGGAAAGAAGGGAATGGAATTAATATGAGAAAAGGAAAAAATGGAAACAAAGTCTTTGTAAATAGGGAGCAGTGGAGGGGGTGAAGGGAGGACAGGGGAATGGGGAAAAAAATAAGAACCAAGATACATCATGTAAAGGTACAAGTTTCCAATGATGAATATAACTATTTTATATCTAAAATGTACCAATAAACTTAATGGAAAAAAAAGAAATAAAAGGAATAAGGATAGGAAAGGAAGAAGTTAAATTACCATCATTTCCAGATGACAGGATACTCTACATAGAAAACCCCAAAAATTCCACCAAAAGACTTCTAGATTCAATAACCCAATTCAGTAGCATAGCTGGATACAAAGTCAACACCCAAAAGTCAATAGCATTTCTGTACACAAATAACAAACTCACTGACAAAGACATTAGAGAAACACCTTTCACCTTTCACAATAGCATACAAAAAAATGAAATACATAGGAATTAATCTAACAAAGGAATTAAAAAGACCTTTACATTGAAAACTACATTACTCTGAAAAAGGAGATTGAAGAGGATATCAGAAAATGGAGAGCTATCCCTTGTTCTTGGTTAGGAAGAACCAATAGAGTGAAAATTTCCATACTTCCAAAATGTTTATACAGATTTAATACAATTCTGATCAAACTACCAATAGCATACCTCATAGAATTAGAAAGAACAATCCTAAAATTCATCTGGAACCAAAAGAGACCTAAAATAGCAAAGGCAATTCTGAGTAACAAAGGCAAGGCAGGGGGCATCACAATCTTGAAATTATACTACAAAGCTACTGTGATTAAAAACAGCATGGTACTGGGGGAAAAAAACAATAGACCTGAGGATCAATGGAACAGACTGGAAAGCAGAAACAACTCCAAACACACTCAGCTACCGTCTCTTTGACTAGAGGCTGAGGCAAGAGGATTGCCTCAAGTTTGAGGCCAGACTGAGCTACATAGTGAGTTCAGTGCCAGCCTGAACTACAAAGAGAGACCCTCCCTCAAAAACTAGACCTATATCTTTCATCATGCACTAAACTAAAATCAAAATGGATTAAAGATCTCAATATTAAAACAGAAACACTAAATCTGCTGGAAGATAGAATGGGTAGAACTCTTGAAGACATTGGTATAGGCAAAGACTTTATGAACAAAACTCCGATTTCACAGGAAATATCACAAAGAATCAACAACTGGGATCTCATCTTACTAAAAAGCTTTGCCACAGTAAAAGAAACCACCAACCGAGTGAAGAGACAATACCAAAAAATTTTTGCCAGCTGTTCCGCAGACAAAAGACTAATATGTAGAAAATATAAAGAACTCCAAAAAAATCAGACCCCTCAAATTTAAAGACCCAATCCAAAAAAGGGCATCTGAAATGAATGGACACTTCTCAAATGAAGAAGTAGAAATGGCAAATAAATATATGAAAAGTGTTCAACATCACTGGTCACTTGAGAGATGCAAATTAAAACAATGTTGAGATTCCATCTCACTCTAGAAAGAATGGTTATTATCAAGAAACAAACCAATAAATGCTAGTGGGGCTGTGGGGGAAAAGGAACCCTTCTCCACTGTTGGTGGGAGTGTAGACTGGTGCAACCACTGTGGAAATCAGTATGGAGATGCCTCAAAAAAAACAAAACTAGAGGTTCCATTTGACCCAGCTATACCACTTCTTTGTATCTTCCTGAAAGAATTAAAAGCACCATACCACAGTGATATATGCACAACCATGTTTACAGCAACAGTGTGTAATAACTAAAGCTTGGAAACAGCCCAAATGCCCATTAATTGATGAATGGATAAATAAGATGTGGATGGGTTTTTTTTTGGTACCAGAGATCAAACTCGGGTCCTTGCACTTGCGTAGCAGGAAGATGTGTTTTTTATACAATAGAATACTACTTGGCCATAAAGAAGGATAAACTTGAGGCATTTCTAGGTAAATAGATGCATCTTGAGACCATATTTTTAAGTGAAGTAAATTGGACATACATGTTTAAATATCACATTGTTTCTCTGGTGTGAGAACCCAAAAGTGTAAATAAGGACCAAAATGTTTAATAGATACTGTGAAATGGAAAGAAAATGTTCAAATGGGAAGGGGAAAAAGGGAGGGAGGAGGGGGGAAAGAAGGAAGGGACAAGGGAAAAAGAATAGAAGGAAGAAAATGGAAACAAAGCTTTTGCAAATAAGGAGGGGAACTGGGGTTGAAGGGCGGGAGGGGAATGGGGAAAAAAGCAGCAAGATATATCATGTACAGGAACAAATCCCCATGATGAATGTGATCATTATGTATATCTAAAATGTACCAATAAAAAATAAAATAAATTAACGTATCTTAATTAACATATAGCAATTATATATAATTATTGAGTATTGTAATGCATTTCAATACATGTATATAGTGTATTTGTAAAATGATCAGATTGGGCTAATTGGCATATCTACAAACTCAGACAGGCATCATTTCTTTGTTTTGGAAATATTCAAAGCAGTATATTAGTTTTTGTACTTATTTAGTAATAGAAAGAGAAATCAATGGCAAAGTTAACCCACAACTAGAAAATCAGATCTAGTGAAGGTGTTTGTTTTACATAATAGGTGAAGATTTTTCAACAGGATTTATTTATTCGTTTCTCTTTCATTAAAAAGTGCTCAATGATGTAATCAGACCAATTAGCATAATAATAAAATAGTTTGTTTACACAATGAAATACTAACCAGGTATAAAAAAGAATGAACTCTTGTCTGGGCTGAGATTTAGCTCAGTGGTTCTGCTGCCTGTCTTGCAAGCACAAGGTCCCGAGTTCGATCCCCAGTAACAAAACAAAAAAAAAACCCAAAAAATGAAATCTTGTCATTTTTAGCAACAAGGATGGAACTACAGAACCTTAAACTGAGAGATACAAGCCAGACAAAGGAGGACAAATACCACATGTTCCCACTCATTTATGGAAACCTGTAAGTCAACTGTATGGAAGTATAGAACTGAATAGTGGTCACTAGAGATGGAAAGAAGCGGTAGGACAAGGGACAGAGAGAAATTAGGAGGGACTTCTAGATATGGGAAGCATGCTGGGGGAGAGGGAATAGGGAGTTGAGGGCAGACGAAGGGTGGACAGACACAGTCAATGAATGATATATGCATGTATGGGAATATCATAATGAATCTCATTAATGTGTACAATTAATATCTATTAATTATAATAAACATAAAAAATAAATTGAGCCGTGCTCATTAAAAATAGCTTAAGTTGAATTTTTTATATAATAAACATAAAATAAAATATATATAGGGGCTGGGGATTTCGCTTAGTGGTTCCGCCGCCTGCCTCGCAAGCGCAAGGACCCAGGTTCGATCCCTGATACCAATAAATAAATAAATATATATATATATATAAAATAAAATGTCCATCAAAATAACTGCCAATGACTCATTTAGAAAAATAATAACCAAATCCTCTAAAGCTCAAGGCTTCCTTTATAAAACCTTTCTGAACTCCAGCTTACATTGACTTTTCCTTTCTTTAATATTCACAGCATCTATGTGTCTGTATCATTCACGCACCAATTAACATTTTTATACGTAGATCTTATATCCGTAGTAAAACTAGAAGATCCCAGAGTTAAGTCCACAGAAGCACTTGACTGTGTTTGAACTCAGGCTGTGCATTAGCAAAAGAACATTGAATTGGGAATCAGGATGGAAAGATTTTAATTCCAAGTCTTTCACTTATTACCTTAAATCACTTTACATCCTTGGATTTTCCCATTTGAAAAATGAGAATATATAATCACAAAGAAACCATGGGGAAGAAAAAGCAAAGTGTACAAAAAGTCAAACTGCACTGTTGTACTCAATGACATCAAATTTTGTTTTACTCTTTTATCAATACATCCCTTCTAACCACCAAACCAAAGACACCCAGCCCCAGTTCTACTCCCCTTTTCTCATTTACACACTTACACATTATAATTTTTATGTTCAGCCCAAAGCTTAATGAGGAAGAAATGGTAAGGGGTTGTTAAAAAGTAAAAAAGCACTGTAACACACCCAAAAGTTATGGCACAGAAAGTATATACATGTTATATGAAACTCATATTCCCAGAAATAATGCTACTTTTTTCAAGAATACTCTTCATTGCCGGGGATTTAGCTCAGTGGTTCCGGTGCCTGCCTTGCAAGCACAAGGTCCCTAGTTCGATCCCTGGTACCAAAAAAACAAAAAAAAAAAAAAGAATACTCTTCATAGTGTTCTTTCACTGTATATTGTTTTTAATGTTTAATTTCCTCCTGTAGTTTGTTTTAGCACATTGGATTATAAATCTTGAAAGACAGCCAAATACAATTATCAGCAGTTAAGAGTCTATTTTATTAAATGAATTAATTGAATCACAAAACATTGTTCATACCTTGTACTTTTTCTGCTGCCCAATACTTCCCTGCAGTCTCCAGAACCCAGGCTTCACTCCTATCCGCTATCAGGAAACTGTTGTGATAACTAAATTCCATGCTACCCTCTGTACAATTTCCACCCTGGCCATATTTTTCTAATAAATCAAGAATGACATTGAGGGCTTTTTCAGCTGTATCAGCTCTTTCAAGACCAAGTCTAAAATAAAAATATTAAAATGCTGAGATTAAAATAAATTTCTTATTTTTCTTAAATAATTTCATGCTATTAAGACTTTGTTTACATTCAAAGTAAAAATTTCTTTCCAGTTAAAGTTAAGATAAAACAAAATCTAACTTTTAAATTTTTCCTTCTGAAGTCAGTTTGGAATCATGAAAACCAAGTTTCTGGAGTCAAACAGACCTACGTTCAAATTCCAATTTGATAATTTATTGGCACGTTACTTTATCTCTAAACTTCATATATGTCATTTGTAAAATGAGGATAATAATGTATACTCTAGGGGTTTATTGTGAAAACTAGTAAACCATGTAATTAACTTAATACAGTACTACTGTATATTAGTCACTTCCAATCAATCACAATTTGCAACTCCTTCCCTTCTCTCAATCAATACTTTTGTGAGTCTTGAAATTGCATACTGGTACTCTGAAACATCTTTGGCACAAACTATAAAGTATCAAAGTCAATGGAAAGAAGGGAAGAACAGAGAGAGAGAGATTACACTAATAATTAAGAAGTTCTGTAGTGAAAAATTATAATAGCAAAATAACCTGACAAGGTCCATGCCCAGCAGTGCTTCCTCATTAGAAACTTCTTCTCTTCCCCATACAGCTTCATTCCCAATGCAAACTCCGTGCTCATTGGCTCCCATTTCTGCCCCCCACAACCAGGCTGGCCGACTAAGGACAACAGCACATGTTTCAGGAACTTGCTCAATTTCTATATAAGTACACTGTAAGAAGAAAAGTCACACAATAACCAAAATGAAAAAGGAAAAGTTATTAAAATCCAAAATTTACAACATTCAGAAACCTTTATAAAGGAGATAAATGAAACATAAATACAAATTTTCAATAATAAAATAGTAACCTTAAAACATTCCAAATCAGCTCTAAAGCATTAATTCAAATATTTGCTGAGCATCTCCTAAGATAATTCAATACAGAGTTTACTTTCAAGACACTAAGACTTTTACATTAACTAAGAAAGATACAATAAAATATAAAGTATGAGAGCTAGGAAGAAAAATGAACAGGAGGGGCTATCAAAACTCAGAAGAAAGACTTCTAGTTATGACATTTTCAAACTGTTGTAGAAGATGATTAAGTGAGTTCAAGACTAAGGAAGCTAGCTGTTCTCAAACTTCAATGTCCAAGTGTTTTCTGATAAGGGCTATAAGTACCCCTATGGCAACCCTTAAATACATAAGTACTGCCGTAGAGGCCTGTATCTCATGTGAATGTGGCTTATCAGGTTTTCACAGCAGTGAAAAGAATGACAGCCATTGTTTTCCAAGACAGGCTAAATTTAAATATACAGAGATCAAATGAAAATGATATCCCAGATAAATAAACCATCTCCGTAAAAGAAAAAATATGATCAAGTATACAGAAAATGTCTAATATTTAATATATGTTGGTGTAAGAACATTAATAAAATAAAAATTCAAAAAGTACATAACATCAATAAAAGATAATATGAAACAGACTTTAAGTTCCATGTTAAATGAGTTTTTAAAACAAATTTTTTAAAATGGTCCTTTAAGGGCCAGGGATTTAGCTCAGTGGTTCCACCACCTGTCTCACAAGCACAAGGTCCCGAATTCAATCTCCAGTACCAAACAAAAAAAGAAAAATGGTCCTTTAATTAATGTGTATACTATAAAGTGACTACCTAAAATGCACATTGACAATGTTATACTAGAGCATAGTAAACCTTTTTTGATGAGTCATAAAATTTATTTCCAAACTCTGGAATAACTTCTCTTATTCTACACCTGTTGGAATCCTTTTTGTTCATCAAATTCCAGCTGAAACCCCAACTCTTAGTGAAGCTTTCCTTCCCTAGTTTGAATTAAGTGTTCATCCTCTGCCACAGCAAGCCACTCTACTTAAATTTAACATTTATTTCCTTTACAGTACTTGATAGTAGGGTTAGTTGCATATATAGCCTACTCCTACACTAGACTCTAAGCTCCTATAAGAGAGCTCCATCCCAATCTTTTTTTTCTTTCTTTTTTTTTTTTGGTACAGTGGATGGAACGTGGGACCTTGGGCTTTTGAGGCAGGAGGTGGAACCACTGAGCTAAATCCATGGCAGAATCCATCCCAATCTTAATGGTTAGCTTTAAACTCCTTACCCTATCTGTTTGCACATTAAAATATTTGATCAAACAATTAACAATTTATTGTTATTTCACCTTCTTCCAAATGATTGAAATTACAGACTAGATAGAAATCTATTTCTGATTCAAATGGAAAAAAATCTGAATTTTAACTTCTATAATCTCTGCCAAATTGCTAATGATAAAAATACTGTTTATGATATTTTTAGAGAAGTATGTTGATAACAAGTACTATGTGTATTTCACCTACCTTAAGCTGTTCTCCCAAGTTATGAACTGCAGCAGGAAAATAAACTACCTCTTGTACTTCATCACAGAGTCTATCTGAATTTTTTCCAAAAATAATCCTGTTATCAATTGTTGATGGAGGTAATGCCACAAAAGAGTCACAGGAACAGGGTTCCATTTTAGGAAAAACTAAAAATCATATAAAGGTTTCAAAATAAAAAGAGAAAACATGTTTAAATATATACAGAACAGTTTTACTCTATTACCAGGGGATATTATTGCCATATCTAATAAAAAGTGCTCATTAAAGTTTTAAACATTATATACTATTAGTAGAAAAATAAATAGGAGTTTGGAACCGTGTATTACATGAATCTCTAAGAAAATGGCAATGAGACTTCTTCTAGTCTACAGACCAAATTTATTCCCTAAAACCTTTCTCTCCTAAAGTCTTCCCTGGATTTTCTTTCACTACCCTCATATTTGGGAATCTCTACACCTAGCTGACTGTTGTGAAGGCCATACAGTATTCTATTTTATTTGTGTATTTTGCCTTCCCTTACTCGACAGTGAGATCCTGAAGAGGTAGGAGCATGTTTTATAAATCCTCGTATTGTCACCATTGGAACTTATTTTATGGGGGAAAAAACTTATATGCCCAGTATTTCCTCAAAAGAAGGAAGAGGTCTCTTTTGACCTGAAGAAGAATACACGTAGATTTTAATATGGAAAAGACAAAAAATTTTAAACAGAGTCACTAATTTGAACAAACATAAAGGATGTCAATAAAATTCTAATTATTAAAATTTCCAAGTGGAAGTTCACATATTTAACTTGTAAATCCTGATTGTAGAATATAATATCTAGATTATGTTTCCATTTGTAATTTAGAAAATCTAAAATAGTTTTAGAACATCTATACTTTTACTTTGCTTTAAGAATAGACACATTGCTTTAGTTTCCTCCTTTCCTTTATTTTGTAATGTCCAAACATTAGAGTGGCTTTATACAGGCAGTTATTAACAATTTAAAAACAAAACTTACATCTAATGAATGTTTCATTAAAAGGAAAACAAAACAATTCAAGAAATAAACAACTTTAGTCTGAAAATTTCTAAAAGTTTTCTCTTCTCAAGGAGAGAGATCACCACTGTTTTCTGTCCTTTTCTTGTGTATTGCAACTGTTTTTTCAGATCTCCTTCCATTTGCGTTTCAGTTAGTTCTACCACTACATAACCTTAGCATGCTACATAATCCCTTCCTCCATGCTGCCAGTCTGATCAGTAAAATACGTACTAATGTGATTGTTAAGAGAATTCGACAAGACACACTTTGAACAATTTTACATAGCAGCTGAACATAGTACAGCTTCACGTGAACGCTGTTACTGTTATTTGCCAGAAAAGTAAATGTCTGCCCCCCACCCCTACTAGAGATTGAACTCGAGCTTCAGGGCTTTCCCATTTTTTAAATTCCCAGTTTTTCAAAAAAGAATATATATTTTTAAAATTTTGAGACAAGGTCTCTCCAAGTTACCCACACTGGGCTCCAATTTGTGATCCTCCTGCCTCAGCCTCCCAGAGTGCTGGGCTTACAGGTGTGTGCCATTACACCTGGCCAATAGGCTTCTATACCACTCAGTTGACTCTCAACCCTAAAAGGCTTATTATTAACATCACCACCCCCCACGTATACATTCTGGAGTCCCAAGGGCCACCAAAGTTGCACTAGGTGATCTCAGCTAGCAGGAGTCGTCCGGAAGCTAAGGAAACTTGTCGCCTAGTTAAATACCCCTTATCCCAACAAGAGGCGAAGTTTTTCCTCTAAAGCGTATTCATCATTCAACATTTATCGAACATCTTTCATGCCCCAGTGACCCTGCACTGGAAGTAACTAAAAACAAAAGAGCCGCCGCACTTGTGGAGCTGGCATTTTATTTTATACACTTCAGTTCGAGGGCGCTCAGAAATTGCACTCTGAACCTCACAAACGCAGTTCGATTAGAGTAAGGATTATCTCCACAAAACAGGCGCAGACAAGTTTTTGCAACTCGAGCCAGCGTTATGAGAAAGTAACGGGTTGTGCTCTGGCAATGAGGCCCCGCAGCTGATCTCCTGGGTTCGTTCGCCAGCAATGAAACCCCTGCCCCGCGCCCACCCCTCACCTGGTCTCCAAGCTACTTGAAGTGACCGCAAGAAGGAGGGGTAGATGAGGGGGGAGGGGGGCGTGAGGGAGGTGCCACGTCCGGAAGTTGTCACTTTTGACCCCGGAAGTTCCCCCGTCGCCCCTGGAGGCTCACTTCCGGTTAGGCGGCAGAGTTTGTTTACGTTTCACACAGATCTAGGCGTTCCCTTCTGCAGCTGGGATTCCAAGATGGGGAAGTCCTTCGCCAACTTCATGTGCAAAAAGGACTTTCATCCTGCCTCCAAATCTAATATCAAGAAAGTGAGTGAAGGGACCGGAGAGGGATGTGGGCCACGGTCGCTAAGTTCCCAGAGCTGCTGGAACGGAGATGTTGCTGTAGCCGGGGCTCCTGGAACCGTCGCCTCTTAGGGCCTAAAGCCCTGGTGCTCTCACCTCTTCACAGTAACCTCTGTAGCTATTGTTTAACCCTAAGGGTTGTACCCTGTGCTAAGAAATTGTAGATTCCTGTAGAGAGATGCTTTTTCTATTCTCTGAAATAATGTTAGAGGTGTGTGTGTTTGTGTGGTATTGGGGATTGAACCCAAGGATTCATGCATACTGAGCTACATCCCTAGCCCTCTCTGAAGTAATGTAGGAACTGGGTACAAGATGCCGTTAAACTATACACACTCAGAGTTTTCTCAAGTTTGGCACTTTCGTCTGAAAGTTCAGCTATTTTTGAATGGCTGATACCAAGGCACAAATCAAATTTGTTTTAGGTGTTATTTTGTAATGATGTCGCTATGAAACAATTAGGTTATATCAAACTGTAAATAATAGTATTTTATATTTTGTAAAAGAAAAGCAAACATCCTACTTAATTTAAATCCAACTTATTTCTATTTTATGTCATTAATGTAGGTATGGATGGCAGAACAGAAAATATCATATGATAAGAAGAAACAAGAAGAATTAATGCAGCAGTATCTTAAAGAACAAGAATCATATGATAACAGGTAAGAAGTGCTACTGCCCCAGTGTTTATAAAATAATCAGTTATTTAAAAATCAGTTATATGAGAGTAATCTTAACCAAATCATTATTTACTCTCATGCTTACAGATAGCTCCTTTATCCAACTCTACCCATAATTCACATTCAGTATCTTCATTGACTTACATAGTCTGAGAGAAGCCCAGCATGGTAGCGTGCATCTGTAGTCCTAGCTGCTCAAGAGGCTGAGTAGGGAGGATTATTTGAACCCAGTAGTTCAAGACTAGCCTGAGCAACACAGTGGGACTCCTCTCTCAAAAACAAACCAAAAAAGTAAATAAACCATGCAGTCTGTGTGCAAGTCCCAAGTTAGAAAAAGCTTTCAGAAAAAAATAAATATCTATACTTGAACTGCTGATACCTCATAGAAAGGAGTTTCTTTAACATACACTCAAATGAGAAAGTGTACGGACACATAGAAGAAGAAAAATGAAGCATCTCTTTTGTCCTGCATGTCATTGTTCTGCTAATAGCAAGATCATGGCAAGAGTTTTTCATTGGTTTCTCCCAGGATGGTACCTGCATTTTAGCTCTTGTCATTTTATATTTGCAAATCTGACATTGAAGCTGGTTTCTCTTGATTAATCAAGTAAATAGTGGTATTTCAGTTACCCAGACTGTGCTCTGAGTAAAGAGCATTTACCATATGAAACTAAAACATCTGTTTATGGACACTTGGGTTACTTGCATACTTTGGCTATTGTGGCCATTGATACAGAGTTTTTGAGACAGGATCTCACTGTGTAGCTCAGGCTGGCCTCAATTGAACTTAAAGGTATTTTCCTGCCTCCGCCTCCCAAGTGCTGGGATTATAGGCATGCACTTCCATGCCCCACTTGATGTAGAGTTATTTGTTCAAGCCCATATTTTCAGTTCCTTTGACTATGTACTTAGGAGTGGAATTGCAGGAGCATGTGATAATCTGTGTTTAGCTTTCTAAGGAATCACAAACTATTTTTCCATTTTCCATTTCATAGACGAGGATTTCAATTTCACTACACCCTTGCAAATATTCATTATGTTCTTTTTGTCTTGTAGTACCCATACTAATAGTGTGAAGTGTTATCTCATTGTGGTTTTGATTTGCATTTCCCTAATATCCAATGATGTTGAGCTTTTCGTGTATTTTATTTTATTTTATTTATTTATTTTGGTACAAGGGATTGAACTCAGGACCTTGCACTTGCCATGCAGGCGTGGCACCGCTGAGCTACATCCCCAGCCCCTCTCATGTATTTTAAATTTTAAAATAGTAGTAACTTAATACAAGACAAAATTTACACACTTGTTTAAAGTGTTAGTTTTTAAGGATGTTTAAAATTTTGGAGCCATCACTATAATCTAATTTCAAAACATTTTCGTCATTTAGAAAAGAAATCTTGTACCTGTTAGCAGTGTCACTCCTCATTCCCCAACCTTGTCCTCCTTGTACCAAGAGTCTCAGTAAGTCATCACCAGGTTACTTTCTATGTCTAAATTTGCCTATTCTGGACATGTCCTACTGTTAGATCATGTATTATGTTGTCTTTTGTGACTGGTTTCTTTCACTTAGTATATTTCCATGGTATAACATGTCTCAGGACTTCATTCCTTTTTGTTGTGTTGGATACATATGCCTATATTCTTTTGCTTCATTCTTTGCTTTTTTTATGGTTTCTAGAATCCAGTGGAAATAAGAAGAGAATTTATACTTTATGAGTGCCTTTTTCAAATATAAGAGGAAATGCTAGTTACTCTTTAGCTTCTTCTTTATAATTAGTATACACACTCAAACACACATACTTTTTTTTTTTTCAGTACTGGGTATCGAACCCAGGCCCACTGTACTACTAAGCTATATTCCCAGACCTTTTTATTTTTTGTGACAGAGTCTCATTAAGTTGCCCAAGCTGGCCTCAAACTCTCAACCCTCTTGTGTCAGCCTCATGAGTAGCTGGAATGATGGGTGTATATCACCACACCGAGCTTAACTTTTCTGAATTAAATTTAACTCATTTATTCAGTTTATTGCAAAGCTTTTTTTAAAAAGGCCTAACCTATTTTTTAAATGGAACTCAAATGGAATTTTTTCAATGTTAAACGAAAACTAGAAAAAAATGAGATTTTTGAGGTACAAGAGGGACTAATTCTATCATGTTTAGTAGCCTATTGTAGACTTTCTTTAAACTATTTTTGCTTCATTGGCCTCACTGAAGAATTTGATTCTTTCACTGATTTTTTTTTTGATACTGAGGATTGAATTTAGGGCCCTTGCACTGAACTAAATCTCCAACCCTTTTATATATTTTTTTATTTTTGAGACAGTTTTTCTAAGTCACCAAGTTCCCCAGGCTTAGGCTCAGACTTACAGTACTCCTGCCTCAACCTTCCAAAGTGCTGGGATTATAGGCATGCACCACCGTGCCCAGCTTTCTCACTGACTTTCAGAAGAAATGTCAGACTCATTTTTCAAAACTATTTAATCCCTCACAAGAATAAGTGCTGGGACCATTTAACTTAATCCCAAATTTATGACATGTAAGATTTCAAAGCTGTCACTATACCATTTCAAGGTTAAGAGAAAATCTCTTCAGAGTGACCCATGTCATTTTATCCACATTTTAGAGGAAAAGATTCTCAGAATTACAGGAGGTAGGGCTAGAGATTTAGCTCAGTGGTTTCGCCACCTGCCTCGCAAGCGCAAAGTCCTGAGTTCAATCCCCAGTACCAAAAACAAAACAAAACAAAAGAATTACAGGAGGCAGTGCTACATATTTGATTTCCATTCAGATATTTTAAATGAAGCCAGTGAAGCAGTTTTGAAACTTTATCTCCCTCTGTCTGTCTGTTTTTTGTTTTTTCCTTTTGGTGTAGGGATTGAACCTAGGATCTTGTTCAGGTTAGGCAAGTGCTTTACCACTGAGCTACACTCTCAGCCTGGGACTTGATATCTAACAAAATTTTTTTCTTAATTCCTTTATGTTGTTAACTTTGTCTTATTCCATTTAGATTGCTTATGGGAGATGAACGTGTAAAGAATGGCCTTAATTTCATGTATGAGGCCCCACCAGGAGCTAAAAAGGGTACTGGCCTCATTTCCTTTTAAGTCTTTGTTATAATTAAAGATTGACAACTTCTAAGTAGTAATGTTTAAAAATTGCGTTTCATCTTTGAAAATTGATATCTTGTGAAGATAATAAAAATGCTGTATAATATACTGTAGAATAAATAGTAAAAATATTTTTCTAATGTCATATTTTATGATGCATCTTTGGGGAGGAAAAATCACAAGATCAGTAGAGTTGCATTTATTTTTCCATAATTTGCATATGTATCTTTAGTCCTCAGTGTACTTAGAAAACGTATTTACTGTCGATGAAAAACATAAAAGTTTAAAAATAAGGAATTAGAATACTTATTAAGTACTATCTCCTATTTATATTGTGTTTTATCCTTCAGTGATTTGAATTTTACCTCTGAAAAAAGAAAAGTCATGCCAGTAAATTCTTTTTATCAAATTACAATTAAATAACATGATATTTACATTAGACACTTAATAACTAAATGCTTTTGGAAATATTA